ACACACATGTATACAGTTATTGATAATACATAATGATTTGATAAGATAACTTTACAGCTCATAGACTATGACAACTCCTTACAACTTTACACCTGATGGATTGTGACTGCTAATTAAAACTTCAAAGCTCAAGGTACATTAAATTTACAATCTTCTATAGTACAACTGTAAAAACAGTTATCATCAACTATTCAAGGTATATTAAACTTATAATCTTTATAATACAACTATAAAATTATTTCTCATCCATAGTTGTATAAATGGGCGTCTTATCTTGAATAAAAAGTCGTCCATTAAACGGGTGACTTTGTCGAGTTTTAATTTTTTTTAATGGTTAATACATTAATTAATTATTAAAGAAGGTTTAGTTAAAAAAACCCAATTATATTAGCATTCATAATTTAAAAAAAAATGTATCTCACTTTTCAATAATAAGTAATTATTTATTATTTTTCTTTTAATTTCTTATTTGTATCATTTTATTATAATAATATTGTAATCATAATTATTTTTTTCTCTTTCACAAAAAACGAGCTGGCCCATGAACTTGCTTTAACTTGTAAAATAAAACTCGAGCTCAAACTCGATTAATTAATTAAGTTTAAGCTTAAGCCAGTTGTGATTCGAGCTCGAATTGACTCGTTTGCATCCCTAGTCCTCATCAGAAGTGATAAGTCACCAATAAATTATCATGATCGTGCACTAATCTTAAGGCAAAGTTTAATTGGAAACTTTCAAAATTAAATTTGGGAATATCTGAACCCAATCTAAGCAAACTTATAGTCAAACTGAACATCTTGGCAAGACGAACCCAACAACACTAAATTCGGTTCAATCTGATCCCAAATTGGCTTGTATCAAAGGCTCAAAGCATATTTAGAAGCTTTAGGACATTAATTTGATGAGTGAATGGTATCCAAATATATTATACTTATAGTTAAATCGAGCGGCTCGATGAGACAAATCCAATGAGACCAATATTATTTAATTCTAATATTATTAAGGTACTTAAATATTAAATGAACACTCTATAATTGAGGGAATTAATATGGACCGTCTAATAGAGCATTCCAAGTTTGCCCTGGTTCTTCTTTATGTTTACGGAACATACCACTCTAAAAATATATAAATAGACCCTACTCCTTATATGGAGAAATTATTCTGTGCAGATGCCAAATGCCTTCCGAAGACCAAGCAGAATGAGCCATGTCGGTACCACAGCTCGGTACCGCTCGATATCGCGGCTTTGCACTGCTCGGTATTGCTGATGTGGCTCATTCTGGTTGGTCTTCCGATGTAGAGCTACATTCGGCGTCTGCATAAAATAATTTATCCCGTATATGAGGGAGACCTTTTTAGCTGGAGATTGGAGAAAACTATGAAGCTTTATACATCCTAAAGCTCCACCCGTCTGCATCTCCACCACGACCCAACCGTTGATCTCCATTGGACAACCTAGCAATAGTCGTTCACCGTCGGACCTTCACTGGACTTTCACTCCATTGTTGCCACCAAACTTGCGAACTCCATCGCCTGTCAACTGTAATCTCTCTAACCACTATCACATAATAATAGTCTCCCCAACCTCTATTGCTCGGTTGTAGTCCCTCCAACCTCGTCTTTCTCTCGATAACAATACCCTTGATCTCAGTCCACCGACTACGGTTCCTCCGACCTCAATCCACCGACTTAGCTATTTTTCCTCATTGTAAAGTAATATTGCATCGGCTCAAGAGACTATTAGTAAACTTTAATTTAGGGTTTTTCTTTGAAAAATGATGAATGTAAAGATATAAATTTGATTTAAGGAAGGATAAATATACAAATTACAGCTAATTTTCAAAGTCTTTACGGAGGCTTCGTTTGAGATGATATTTTTACTGTTTTGTTTTTCAAATCGCAACCACAATCTCTATTTTGGCCACTGTGTTTTCGTTGCTTTAAAAAAAAATGTACTAGGAATTTATTTTTACAATAATTTTAAGATATTATTTTCTCTACAACAACTTTATAAAACAGTAAGAAAATCATTTCGAATGAAGCCTAAGTAAGGCTTTGTTTGGTGCAATTGTGGATGTTAGCAAAGTTGGTTTAAAAGTTATTGTAGATAAATATTTAAAATATTTTAAAATTCTATGTTCTCTTTTGTGATGTTTGATATTTTGATGATTATTTTATTATTTATTTTACTTGCTATTGGATTGATAATTTCATGTTTTAAAATTAGATATACTCATCACCTAACACTTATTATATAACTTCCAATGTATTTATCATCAATGCTAATATTATCTCATCTATACACTTAAATTATTTGTATTTGTATGATTTATTATTTTGATGATTTTGATTCAATTGTAGGCTTCGTTCATTTCGGATTGTTTTCTTACCGCTTTTTATAACAAATTTTTAGTACAATTTTTTAAAATAGTAAAAAAATAATGACCAAAAGTTATCCCAAATGAAACCTTAATGGGAATTAATCTCAAACTAACAAAATTTTTATTTTGGTTTGATTAGAGAGTATCTAAAGAATTCGAATTGTTCTCAATTTTTTGTTATAAATTTAGCACAAAGATCTCATTTATATTTTATATATTATAACTTCAATCTAGTTGTACAATCATCATTATTTAATGCCTTACTGATTTTGTGCTTGCCACAACTATTTTTAAAATAAATGCACTTTACATTTACGAAATATTCTCGTTAATGTTAATGCTCAAGATTTAGAGAGGGAGAGAATCAATGAGTAACACTCTATCATTTTTTGATCCACAAAATATGAAAAAAAAAAAAAAAAGAATCAATAGCAACATTAGTAGGAGTAGCATGTTTTAGACCCAAAAGATCATCAACCTATTGAGTATGTCTTACTTAGAGAATCAATCAATAATGAATGCTGTTAGGATCTTGGAAGATGTTCTTGAGAGAGAGAGGGAGGGAGAGATAGAGACACCACATTTGGAGGAAATAAAAATAAGCTTTTCAGATTTTTCCCCAACTCTTACATCAACCCAAGGTCTCTATTTATAGAGCATTACCAAGGTGAGATAACATGCATGAGCAAAAAGGCCTAAAACTAAAACAACTCATAACAAATGCTTATAATTATCTAGATTTGCTTAAGGAGCTTATGTTGTATATTCAACGTGCTTATTATGAAATCTTCATAATCAATCTAGCATTAGCCTACGAAGGTTATTGATTTTATGTTCTATCCTTTCTGGACCATTGTGGTCGGATCTACCACTCTTGGTTCTTACATTTCGAAGAAGGTGATTAGGCACTTAAAAAGGCAGGGTTCTCTATGTGTGATCACCCTATCCTTTTCTCTAAGAGGGTTGGGCTAATGTTGCTCAACATGGCATAGCTTGATAGTAGGTTTTGTTTTAAGTGTTGTTCATAGGCAATGACTTCACCCATGTGATCCTTTTTAGTGAGGGGACATCAATTGGAGCAAGTTTAGAGTATCTAGCAACTCCAATTCTTCAGTTGGAGTCCCTTATTATTCTTACATCAGGTTATAAGTTTAGAGTAAAGAGGTAAGTTAAAAACTTAGGCTTCGTTTGGGGCGGCTTTTTTACTGCTTCTTAAAGCAGCTTTCTAGTACAAAAATTAAATTTTTGTACTAAAAAGCTGTTTTAAGAAGCAGTGAGAAAGCCGTTCCAAATGAAGCCTTATTCTTATCGAATGCCCTTGCTAAGAGAACCTTTTCGAAGATGTCAATCGTTGAGCGTTATAGATCTTTATTAGAACTTTATTTGATGTTCATGAAGCAATCTGACATGTCATTCACAAATTTTTTGTATGAAAAAGCAAAACAAGTTACATTTATGCCATTTAAGTAACATTTTTAGTTTTAAAAAGTAATTGATTTCTCCATTTGACTAATCAAGCTAAGTGCGCCTATGCATCTAAAGTATTATTTTTTGCTTTTTGGAATGTAATTTATTTCATCACTTGACTAATCAAGCTACAAAAGAAAAAGGATTGTCCATATTCATTAGGAGGATTTTTTGTTCTTATTTTAACATTTCATTGAGAGATATTATTATTTTCTTAGCTTCTTTTTTGAGATGTTATTTTATTGCCTTTGCCTGTAAGGATGCTTCTATGCACAAGTTGCTTTAGACCTACTCCTATTTTTGAACTTTTATTTGGTCCAGACACGTGACGTAGCTTTACATCCGGATGCCAATAATATATCGCCACGTGCTCTTACACTTTACTGCGCGACCCGACGACCATGACCCGGTATCGCTATATTGACTGATTTGTGCAAACCGGGGTATTGCTAGGTATTGCTCGATATTTCTTGGTATTGGTCGGCAATAACGAGAAATACCGCTCTCTCAAGTCCAATACCTAGCAATATCGAGTAATACCGAGCAATACCGAGCAAATACCCTGGTTTTGCTAGGTATTGCTCAATATTGCTAGGTATTGCTTGGTATTGGTCTTGACAGAGCGGTATTTCTCGTTATTGCCAAGCAATACCTAGTAATACCAAACAATACCTAACAATACCGAGCAATACCTAGCAATACACGAACATAGCAATACCAGGTTCCGTTCCTGGTCGGGACGTCGGGCGGCACGATAAAAAGTAAGAGCACGTGGCGACATGTTATTAGCGTCCGGATGTAAAGCTACGTTAGGTGTCCTGACCTAATAATTTTTTCCTATTTTTCTTGTTATATTGGATCTAATACATCTACTCTCTTAATCATATCATCGGAAGGCCGATATTTTATGTGACGATATTATCTATGGTTATTTTCTCTAATTTTATTTGTAGCTCTAATATTTTTATAATTATCTTTATCAAACCATCGTGAAAATTTTAGCTTTACATAAGTCTCATATTTTATGACGTCATCGCAATAATCACCTCTCCATAAAAATCTTGAAAAAAAAAAATTTATTTGCACCGATTAAACGGTCAGGATCAGCTACAGACCAAACAAATGTAATCCAAAACCATCGCAGAAGAGAAATATCTTCGGCGATTTCCGTTTTCTTTTTATCTCCGGGTGACCCTTATCTCCTCTAGCTGCTCGAGCTCATCAACCCTACAATGGCGACGATGAACTACCCCTCTCTCCACCTAAAAACCCTAATTTCCTACCAGCACTCCACGTCCTCTCAGAACCCTAACTCGATGCTCGCGCGTCCTGTTCTCCTATTGCCTCAGAGAGGAAGGCCAACGGGTCTTTCCTTTTTCAGCCATCGATCTCCGGTGGTTCGACGGGTGGGGAAAGGTGGAGTTAGGGCTATGGCAGTGGATGGGGACTACTCATCAAGGAGGAGCAGTAGTAGCGAGCCGAGAGAGACGATACTGCTTCCTGGTTGCGACTACAATCATTGGCTCATCGTAATGGAGTTTCCCAAGGATCCAGCGCCCACCAGGGAGCAGATGATTGATACCTATCTCAATACTCTCGCCACTGTTGTTGGAAGGTAAAATACTTGGACTTTACTTGATAGTATATATTTTGCGGAAAAGTCTTCCTCCGGTCTTTCTAATTTGTCACAAGAGTAGTAATTCGACCAGTGAAAAAAAATATTATGAATTTAAATAACCCAAATATCATTAAATTGTAAGAGTTGCTAGATTTTGAAGTCTTGAATTTTAAGCATTTGTATATTTTCTCTGTCATTTTGTTTCAAACAAAGTTTTGAAAGTGATTGAAACTGAGTTGGGAATTGAATTCCATTGTATTTGGAAGAAAGTTAATGAGAGCGAGTTCCCATTCTAGGAACTAGTCTTTATAAAGGCGAAAAGTGAGTTCTGCTTACAAACACTTTGAATTCATCCTTTTGTGTTTTGCTTAAGCTATAATTATACCAACATGAAAACTATAAGGAGGACTGGTTAGAATGTTAATTTTAGTTTCAATAAAGATACAGTATTTTAAATTAATGAGATGATAGGTAATTATGAAACTCACTACAGTTCAAACAAGCACCAGAAACGAGTTCACAAGATGGCAATTCATGTAGAACGATCAAATATCAATGAAACTCACTTTAATGGAGTTCATCTTTTAAGCCTTAGCCCCAACCGGTTCCTAATATGTACTTGCAACAAAATAATATTAAAAGAAATACTAGGGAAAAGCTTGAATTTTCTCTTTTTGAAAATGATGATTTGCCTTCAGAAAGGATTTGAAGGGTAATTTGTTACTTAATTTGAGTGACTTCCTGTGGCATTCAAGCAAATTTGTATGCTTTTATCACATTTATTCTTTGCATGGTGACAATTAGGATTTTCATGGGTAAGTTGCATAGCTTCATACAATTCAATTGCAGTTTTCTTCTTTAGTGTGGAATTTTACTGTTTCTTAGTATGATTTATGAGACTGATTATTAGATGAGGTTTGCATGAGAGGATCAGCCATATCAATTTGCTGAAACTATGGGATGACTTTGCAGTTTCATTCAAAACTTCATTATTTATTTTACAAGGAGGTTAACTATTTATCATTTCTAGTTATGATACTTCATATTACTTTAAGAACTTTTAACCTGCCCAAATGTAGTGCATTTTATGTGCTATCAAGTATCAACATATTCTGTTATCCAATTTATTAAATCATCTATTTATAATCAAATTGTCAGCTTCGGTTGCCATAAAATATCCAACTCATACATATTTGTTTATCCGGGAAGGGAATTTGGTGGGTTGCATGCTCGCAAAATAAATATATTGCCTAATCACTTTTGAAGCAAATATCTGTGGTAGCCAAGAACTGGGTCAAGTCTTTTGCTCATTTATTGTACATTTCTATATTGTCCCAATATTTATGGATGATAGACTAAGACAACAGTAATTGTTCTTGATGATTTTTTGTTCCTTCTCTATTCATTATGCTATAATTGTTGATTTATACTTACATCTTTCTATTGGCTAAGAGTGTGCATGCAGCAATGATGAGTACAATAATGAGATATAACAAAATTACAAGAAAACGCCACAAAAGTATAGAAAAGATTTACATGGTTTGATAAATTCACCCCACCCCTGCCATGGTCACATAAAGATAGATATTCCATTAGACCCAAGGCAAATGTAGAATCCAACCATTCCTCTTCAATATTTTCCATTCTTTCTTATGTCTTTCTATATTTTTTTTCTTTATCTAGTTCCTTTCTCCTTTAAATCCTGTATGCCTCTCTCTCTCTCTCTCTCTCTCTCTCTCTCTCTCTTTAATATTTTTACTCTTCAAGCAAATCCAAAACCTCAAAAACATATAGGATTGTTTTCAATCAGTTATTGAACTCAGACTTGCAATTCTATTCTCTAATCTTATCTGCTTTCTCACTAGCCACTCCCTCCTTGTCTATCAAGTTAATTGTTCATACCTACTCCGCAGCCATAATTAGCCATATAAGAACTGATCACAAAACCACATAACTATTGTCACTAAGTGGGTGCATTGAACCTCACCAGTGTCATTGACTTTTGTCCTGCATGGCTGGCCAAATAACCACTAAACACTGATCCTTTCTTGAGAGACTTTTTTGTCGATCATCTCTACAAATTAACAACTCTTAGGGCTCACTTTCCAATTACAATAATTGGCCTCCATGATTTACTAGGTTTAGCTCCAATTTCAAAGTCAAATGTTGCTTTTCTGACAAAATTTTGGCTCTTAACCTCTCATATTGGAGCAAGTTGTTGGCTTTCGTCTTAGCCTCCATTCGAAGAACCAACAGTGGTGGTGCTAGTTGCTTCAATAAAGAGCTGTACCTCCGAGGCAACTATTTATTTATTTTTCCTTTTAAAGAGTTGTAAGGTCTGGGAGGAAAACAAGCTTGAGTTTTTGATGTTTTGATTTTTGTTAACAATCACATCATCAAATTTGTACTGCAATCTTGCAAGAATTTTGGTAAAAAATCTTGCTTGATTTTGGCAATCATTTTGAGCAAAAATTATAAAAAATGGGGATAATTACCAAGACATTTGCAAAATTATATGGGGATTAATGCGAAGATTAAGCTCCATATTTAAAATCTCAAATTTGGTGATTATATTTTTGATGTAATATTTTAAGAAACAACCATTTTGGTCCTTTTTGTCAATACTTTCAAGAAACATCTTTGTATGACACATTCAATTATCCATGAGGGTTGACCTAGGCTTTGCAGTATTTCAATCTATCAACGGTAATCTGCTAGCCTTATTTTCACATCCATTTACAACAACTCTAACGTTGTGTCTTTTCTTATTGCAGCGTTCCTTGATCCTGGAAGGTCATTTCTTTAAACTTTTTGTGTTCTTTGGTAACTTTCACTTGATAGAATAGTTATTCTACATTGCACCATTAGGTTCACCAACATCTAGTTGCAATAAGTAAAGCAAGGAAAGAGAGTATATGTGTTTAGGTTCGACCATCTATTAAGATTTTTTCTAACCCAATCAATCATTAGCGTGTTTGGCTCGACCTTTATCTTAATATTGTTATTTATTTGAACATTTACCCGCACATCATGTACCTCCTCAAGCTCAACCTATTCACCCATACTGGCTTGTCCTCTTCCATTATGAGATCTATCTTTATAGATGACAATCTAATTGAAATTGGCGCCATGCAACTATATATCTTTCAATTTTTTCATCCCAAAATCAATGACTTGGACCATCAACTCCATAATGAATGAAGTATCATTCAATAAATTTCACATGCATATTAAAAAGACATCCCTACATTTTAAAATTAATGAGCTTTACATCCTTGCTAGTTCATACTTTTAAATTAACTTATAACCTTTTGAAATTGACGGCCCTATGTTGATTAAATAAATTGCAATATTCACAACGTCAGTTCATAAAGCCTTTAGAAATCCAACCTGCAACCTGATACTCTTAGCTTTGCATTCTGAGTTTTTTCATGGACTCAATAATTTTGATGTGTTCTTGGATGCAGCTTTTCCATACATATTTAGTTGCTCAAAATTTTCTGAACTCCTTACCATATTATTTTACGCTACTATTTGATTTCAGGCACTTGATTGTTGCAGCAGACTCATTCCCTATTAATTTCCGTCTCTTGAAACAAGCAAACAAGTTAGATTTATTAAAACACACACACACACACACACAAATCCTCTTGGTGGAATCAGAGCAAAGGTGATGTACCATAACGAGTTTTTAAGGGATTTCGTTGGGCTTTGTCCTCACATCAGTGTGTATAAGCTCTAATTTGTTAATCTTGTATTGTTTTTTAGTTAATGCAAAGCTAAAATTCCCCTGCTTTTCAAATATATAATTTTCACAAAAATAAAATCCGGAGACTTTAAATTTAAAAGGTTAATAATTGAATGCAACACCCTTATTCCTGTCTCAGTCATGTGTCACAACCTTTGCTAGCATATAAGTTAGAATTTGAGTCCACAGGTGCTTCCATCATTCTTGTGTTTGATTTCATATACAAAGTGACATCTTTACTTCCATGAGCTCGACATAGCACCCTTGGTCCTTTTCTAAATATCAGTATAAATGGTCGAGATGTAACCTATTTCATATTTCATACAATTTTATAATAGATATCAGGTATTGCGTTGAGTCTGGTATGGGTCTCACCTTGTGAAGCTTCCACATAGTCTCCTTAATGGTCTTAATTTACACATCATTTTCCCATAATGCTTAAGTGCTCATTATCAATAAGATAAAATTTAGATTTTTATGTGGAGTAGAGTGAAAAGATATACTTGAGTCCGAGATCTTGTTTCTATAAGAATTTTAGCTTTGAGGATTAGTGCATCAGAAATTTTTTCACTTGCAGCATTCACAAATTCATCTTTTTCATTTGAACTCTATCCACCCTTCATTCGGTGGCGGTCTCTTCTCATATGGCTAGTTATACAATTTTTCCAACAAGCACCACAATCACCTTTGGATTGACTTATCCAAGATTTTTTATCTTTATTCAATATTATATCCTTTTGCAAGTGCTCCCTTTCCTCTCAAAATTGAGAGCAGTAGAAGAGCTTTCACTTAATTCTAGTGTTCAGATGTACTTACTTACGATTAAGTCACAAACATCATTGAGTTCCAACTTTGTAGACCACATGAACCATTGATTGCTATCTCAATTTCACACTAGCTCTCTGAAAACAATAATAGCAAGCTCAGTTTACAAACTTTATTATCAAATATATATTGAACTTAACTGACTTATGAACATATTAAATTTACTAATATGATCTACTGTAGAAGTTTCTTCATTAGATATATCGTATTCATTATAGGTGATTTCTTATATATGTCTAGTAGCATTCAGTACTCTAGCTGTGGCCTTCTCGTATAGTATGTTGCAAAAAAATGTCCTTCATTAGTGTCATGCGTACAACTCTCATATTCTGTCTGCTCTAATGTATGCTTAGCTCATTGTTGTTGGCTTTGTCTCTAACAGAGGTAGATGTAATTCTCTGTCATTGATTTCCATTGATTTATATCTTCGAGTACTTGGAATACTTGTCATTGAACTTGTTCATCTTCAGCTTCTCATCCACGGACTTCATTGCTTTCACTTTTCCTGTAGTACTTCAAAACTGGGCTTTGATATTAGTTGTTAGGGGGAGAGTTATGCGCACAACGACAACGATGAGCACAAGAACAATTGATAAAAGAATTGCAAGAAAATATTAGAAAACAAGGGATGAGATTACATGGTTTGGCTACTGCATCCACGACTGCACCTATAGATAGATATTCCACTAAATCTTGGATTAGTACGTGATACAAAATATTGCACTCCAATATTTTCCACTTCCTTTGCCTTTACTAGTATTTATTTTTTATGTATCATTTTTCTCTCTTCTATTCATTCGCCCTCTCTTCCTGTCTTTGATGTTTTTAACTCTTCAAGCAAACCCAAAATAACAAACATAAGTTTTTAATATACATGACAGAAGTCTTCCTTTGCTTTAGTGTTTTCAATTAGTGACTGAACTCGAAGTTGCATTTCTAGACTCCGATTTTGATTGCTGTGCCAGCAGCCGCCATCTCCTCCTTGATTAAGTTCACCATTCGCACTCCTCTAACTACAACTGGATAAATATATAAAGTTGTTAGAATTACAAAAATTTAAGATTTAGATAGCTTGATATTTGATAACAACTATATCTTTAGATTTGATGTTCAATCCTGCAAGTATTCAGGCAACAAATATTTACTTGATTTTATTCACTGTTTAGAACAAAATTTGATCAGTAAAATTCAGGGATCCAGAGATTTGCTATTCTTTATCTTGAGATTAATGAAGAAAATAAGTTCCACAAATACTACTTTTACTGTATTTGAGCAAGATATAAATGTAAGGAGCGCAAAAATAATCCCCATTTTTTTAATGGAATTCTTCTCTTTTGTGGACCATGGTCTTGTACAGCATGGAGGAAGCCAAGAAGAACATGTATGCGTTTAGTACTACCACTTACACAGGTTTTCAGTGCACCGTTTCTGAGGAGACATCTGAAAAATTCAAGGGTAAAACCTTTTCTGTTGTTAAAATTAATGTTTACATTCTTTGGTTATCAGATGGTTAATCATATAATCATTTGTTATGTAGGATTACCTGGTGTTCTTTGGGTGTTGCCCGATTCCTACATTGATGTCAAGAACAAAGACTACGGAGGTTAGTTCTGATGGTTTTGACTTCTAGTTTTTGAATAGTTGAACTGATATAAGAAATTGAGAGAGTTTTTGATTTATCTATAAGAAATGTTTCATATAACTCTAGGCATAAAAGAAACTTGCCATGCTAAATAAAAAGTTTTGCTTTGTGTCTCAGTATTCAATTTATCAACTCAAAAACTCTTCTGCATATTAAAGTTTCATTTGGGATTTCTTTCTTACTATTTTTTAAAGTAGTTTTTTAGTAAAAAAATAAAAGAATTTTGTATTAAAAAGTTATTTTAAAAAACAGTAAGAAAACTGTCCCAAATGAAGCCTAAAAATACATTCAGAAATAAAGACGCCTGCTTCATTCTTTTTGAATTCTTAACAACCCATGATGCACGAAAGGACACCGAATAATATTGTTTTCAGAAATTCATTGAATAATTTTTAACTGTGTAAAGATTCTTGCGACACAAATCAAACCATAAACTCATTAATCTTCATCTGAAATACATGATAAGTCATTCCTCATACATATACAAATGACATGAACTTGGGCTTCGTTTAGATACAACTTTCTTTCTACTTCTTAAAGAAGCTTTTTAATAAAAAATTTTATGCAACAGTAAGAAAGCTGTCCCTGGGAAGACTTTTTTATTGCTTCATGAAGCAGCTTTTTAGTATAGAAATTTAAAATTTTATACTAGAAAGCTGCTTCAAGAAGCAGTAAAAAAGCCGTCCCAAACGAAGCCTTAATCTCCATTTCATCTAGTTTAACCGGTTTAATATCCATATTTTATATTCTCATTCCTTTTATCAGGCGATAAATACATAAATGGGGAAATAATTCCCTGCAAGTACCCTACCTATCAACCCAAGCAAAGAAGCTCAAAATACGAAAGCAAGAAATATGTGAGGCAAAGAGATGGCACTCCTCCAGACCGGAGGAGGGCAAGAACTGGAACCCCTCAACCAGAATCAGCTTCTTCATAAGTATTCATTTAAAATAACTACTTAAATTCATGGTTTGTCTCCTTCTTTTGTATTTGAATTCAGTCTTAATAGTGCCTATATTTGTTTTTTCTTTTACAGGAAATGTATCTTCTCCCCATGACTGCAGTTTATGAGCAATTTTGTTTCCCAGTCATATTTAAGAATGGAAGGGGAGAAGAAGCAGCATAGTTTAGAGATGAAGTTGATAGGATTGTTAGGGTTTATGTTTTGCCTTGTCTTGCATGCTTTGAGAGTCAGCAATCAATGGTAAGTGCTTGTCTCTGTGTTGTTCTTATGCCCCTTTGGTTCTGTTGCAGCTGAGACAAAAATTGAACCCTCTGAAATATGAATTCAAGTGTTAGACAGTCTTTGATTTGGTGAAATTGCTCTGTTTTGTCATGGTTGGGAACATTGATGTCAACGCTAACTTTTTATTTTGGATAAAATAGGTCAATATAACTATAAAATTCAACCAAATAGATATCAACGCTATTTTTGCTGAATGATTATAGCAGAATGTTGGCTATTAAAGGAGAAACATAAAATTAATTGTTGCAGAGATGAGGGTGCTCAGTTAGATGAGTGGTTTTATACTTAGAGATATAATGTAAAATGAGTATATAGGTGAAATTGTTGGAGTAGCTCTGGTGGTAGATAATATTAGAGCGAGTCATCTTAGATGATTTGGTCACTAAAGCATTGACCTTTTGATAAATCGTAGCTCTGGTGGTAGATAATATTAGAGCGAGTCATCTTATATGATTTGGTCACTAAAGCATTGACCTTTTGATAACTCGGTTAAGAGAGTAGATGTATTAGATTCGATTTACATAAAGAAAAAGGGGTAAGCTTAAAAAGAGTTGGTTAGTAAGTATTATAAATGTTTTTTTATTAGATTTAAATGAAAATTTGACTCTTAATATGATAAAAAGATTTGATGTTGTTCTATTTATCTTTGATTTGCTAAACAAATTTAATCTAACAAGCATGGATTTTGATGTATTTTTTAAATCATAAAGCACCAAATATTTAGCCATAACACTTAAAAATGCACGCCAAAATCGTATAAAAGTTATTTTAGCAAATTCACGTCTAAATAATCCACATTGACCCCTTCACTATTCATATAGTATTTTCTACTATTCTCATGACGTAAAAAAAAATAAAAAAATAAAAACAATATATAGTTTTTTTTTCCGAGTTAGAGATATGAACAAAATTTTTTAATTTTAATTTATATAATGAATTATTTTTATTGGGTCTAATGTTATGATTTTCTTTTCTAAATATTTACATAAAATTTTTCACATTCCTTACAATTTTTTATTTATTTATGTGTAAAATTGTGTGAATCCTTAAATTAAAAAATTACACTACCACTTTCTGCAATAATTTTTTATTCAAAGTTGTTATAACACAACAAATTTTTTAATAAAACAAAATATGAGCCACTTCCATATTGAAACATAACATATTTTTGTTTGTATTAAAAGATATTATAGACATTCTCTGAAAAAGTCTATTCACATAAATTATATAAATGTTTTTTAACATTTCGATCAATTAAGATAAATTAATATATATATCATATATTAAATTTTAAAGTCAAAATTTTTTAATTAATAGTCAAAATTTTCAATCAATAGATTAAGGCTTCGTTTGGGATGATTTTTTTATTGTTTCTTGAAAATTTTGTTTTAAAAAGTGATTAAAAAATTGTTTCAAATTAATCCTAAATTAGGCACATAATTTTTTTTTCCACAAATAATTAAATAAAAAAATATCATTGAGCCGCCAATTTTTTCAAAAGTTTAAAAATTAACTCCATTTTTGTTTTCCTTAGTTCACACTGTCCACAATCCATAGTTGGATACCACTAAAGAACGGCAGAATAAAAAAGGAGAGCAATCACGCCAAAAAGGAGAAAGAAAACCCTGCCCTCGTTCCCCAATCTCCTCGCACGCAATTCGCCAATCTTTATTTTATCGATCACATCAAAACCCTCCTTAAACCTTCTCTCTCTCTCTCTCCTTCCTCTATCGTCTGTGCCTCGCCAATGGCAAAACCCTATTTTTTTCAAATCCTTTTTGGGTTTCTAGGGTTTGTTCTCTTCATCTCTGTACCTGCCGCTGGCGGCGGATCGATCCATGAACTACTACGCGATCACGGCCTACCGGCGGGTCTTCTCCCCACTGCGGTGTCGTCCTACAATCTGGATCTGGAAACTGGTGTCTTGGAAGCTCATCTTGACCGTCCGTGCTATGCCAAGTACGATGGAATGGTCTTCTTCAACGAGACGGTGAGGGGTAATTTGAGCTATGGTGGGTTGAGGGGTTTGGTGGGTCTTTCGCAGGAGGAGCTCTTTCTATGGCTACCGGTTAAAGAGATATTAGTTGCTGATCCTTCATCGGGAGTTATTTTGTTTGATATGGGTGTTGCTCATAAGCAATTGTCTCTCTCGCTGTTTGAGAATCCACAGGATTGCAGTGTGGGAGGAGAGAAGTTTGGTAAAGGTTTAATCCGGATGATCAGTGAAGGTGGGTATCGTGGAAAAAATTGAATTTTGATTGGTTGTTGAGGGCTTAGATGATCTTGTTTATTAGATTTAATATGGAAAATTTCCAATTTTTAGGGATTTTGTGGCATTTTCCATAGTCAAAATTGGGATTTTTTATGTTACTATTAACTTAGAAATTTAAGCTTGAATCTGAATTTTTGACATTTTTATCTAGTATGTTTCTTCTCTCTGTTTGATCATGATCGCTGCTTCATGAAAAATTTTGTGATTCTGGAGTGGCTGTTTTTGTGTTTCATCTTCGTTTGCATGTTACAGGAAATTTCAAATACTCTCTTTCTAGTTTTTAATTTTCTTTTCTTCCAAGTTCCGATCTTCTCCATTTAGATGATTTGAATGAGCTAAGATTCTGCGGATTGGATTGCACGCCCTTTAATTAAAATTGGTAGTTTTAATGCTTCTATGGGTATATACATTTAAGCTTGAAATCTTGTTCATCTAGCTTTTGCCTGCTGGTTCATCCTGATTCTTCGTTCCTGGGGAATTTTAAAAAGTTCAAAATGCTTGATTATAAATTACAATTTAACTGGCCTGCATCTAGAAATTTTGTGAATATACTCTTCCATGTTGATTGTTTTTCCAATTTGAAGGCCAAACTTCTCCTTTTTGACGATATAAGAATCTAACTGCCATGGACTGAACCCGAAATTTTATCTTTTTTATTTCTCCAGTAATCAACATCTTGAGATTTTCCTATCTCCTAAGCATTCAATGCTTTTGGACAATTGCCCATTGCAATTTGTTCTAAACATTCTTAATTATCTCATCATTCTAAACAAGACATGTAGGGAAATCCTTGTAATATGTCACCTTTGCTGCTATCATTTCCTCCTTTATTATGTTTCTTCTTTGTTCTTTTTATCAAATGAGATATTTGCTTTACTGTTATAAAGATCTGTTAAAGCAATATCTTGATTCCTTGTGATTAATTGTTATAACTTGAACTGACTAGAACAAATTGTATACTTTTCCAGGGATTGGAAGGAAGCTAATAGGATTCTTGGGGGAATGATAAGGACTGAAAAGATGCTTCAGATTTGTACTTCCGGCCTCTATATTCTTCTTTTGAGTGTCTTTTATAAATTGTGATTTTCATTTATGTATAATTAATGGTACAGTTCAAAATTTGCTTTGCTTTTTTTTTTTTTTAATTATTTGTTGCTTTATATACATGCTTGATCTTTGATTGATCAAATCAGAAGCATCTCCATTATCGCCAAGGTTTTGGGCTACTGGAGCCGAGCCAGCCATGCAAGAATCACAGTTCTTGCATTTTGTTATCTTGTAATGAATTAATATCTAAATGTTTCTGGGCCATAGGGGGTGCTCAGTTACAAGAATTTTTCATGATAGTATTCTGTAGAAGAAATCCTGTTTTATTTGTTTGTTTGCTTTGACTCTTCAACTCTCAAGGCTCTGGTATTTGAGTGAGGTTCTTTTTTGTTGCTTAAAGATAAACAAATGTATTGGAAAATGACCTCAATGAGGCTTTCACACATCCTTATCCTACTTTGGTCCATGCCATTGTTGTGAGCATTGGATTTAATTTTTTTTAGTATTAATTTGCATGAAGTAGAAATATTAATATATGGTATATATATTTAGTTATATATATATGATATATAAGAGGGGGTTATAACTTTTGATGATATTTATGAGGTGGCTGTGGCTTTAAATAATGGTGTGGTGGGTGCTACTTAGCCAAGGAACGGATGCATGATATTGAAGGTTGTTATGAAGATAGAAGGTAGTGTTTATTGATATCACAAAGATCAAAATGTAGCAAATAAGGGCAATATGTTTTGTGAGGAGTTTGAGGAGATTGTGTTGTATATATTTTATGTCAATCATTTTAGTTACGCAGATTATCTTGGTCAGTTGGTTGTGGGCTTTGATTACTAATCAAGAGGTCTCGAGTTCGAAATTTGCGTATGTGATAAGTGTGTGGGTCTGTCTTAATTGGCTCAAATGTCCAGGCCGCAAATATTCTTTGTGAACAATTTTGGGATGACTAGGATTATTGCAAATAAGCATTTTTTTTGGTGTTAGACAATAAATGAATCTAAATGAACTATATGTCAAGGGCTACATGTTATGAAGATAAGAGGTGGTATTTATCAACATCATAAAGATCAAAGTATAGGAAATAATAAGGGCAAGTATGTTTTGTGATAGGAGGTCTAGAAAATTGTGTGGTTCATGTTGAAAGAACTACAACAAATGGTGCTCTTGGCGGAGTTCAATATAATGATGACAAAGAAGAAGATGATGATGACAACAACGACATTGATGATGACAATAATGAGGAGCTTTTTAACTTTCTTGCTAAAGAGAACTACAGCAAGAGGAGTATTATCATGACAGTTGCATTGAACTATTTCTATCTTTATAACCGAACTAATTCTATTGTTTCTTAAAAATCAGATTAAATGGAAAATAAATGTCCATATGGATGAGAATTGTATGAATTGAGTATTATTTTAAACTTTTATGAATTGAATTGTATGATTGAGAATTGATTTGGAAGGGTTATAGCTATAGAACTGAACTGTGTGGTTGAGGAGAAATTATTGTGTGTGGAATCGGAATGTATTCGGATTCCAATCACCATGCGCCATGTCACTGGATGCACTGGGCCCCGAAGTGCATCCGTTGACGTTGCATTCGGATTTCGCACACAATAATTTCTCCTGATTGATAAGAACTAAAATTGCAGCTAGTATATATGAACCATAAATGAAGCAAAAAATGACTGTATATCATCAAGATATCGCGACTGAAAGTTCTTGTCATGTATATCTTATGACAAGCTTTTTATTTATGGATTTTGAGACAACTATTCTAGTCGCAAAATGGTCTTTATGAACAATTTTGCAGAGAGACCATTTTGCGATGACATGGGCAAATAAATATTTTTCTTGTAGTATTTGACAATAAATGAATCTAGGGGCTGTTTAGTTGCTTGGGGAAAAAAATGTAGTGTAAAAGGAATAATTTAGAGTTGTTTGGATGATTGTAAAAGAAAAGCATGAGAATACTTATTTTAGTTTGATTTAAAATAAAATAAATGTAATGTAAAATACAAAAAAAATAGTAGTTGATGACCAACATTGGTGGCGGTGTGGCTGGCGAGGTGGATGCTGGTGGTAGGCTCTCGGAGGTTGGGGCTGGCAGCGGATGGCAGGCGGTGAGTGGTTAGAGGTGGTGGTGGCGGGCAACGGTGGAGGTGGCAGGGCGACAATAATCAGGGGTGGTCGGGTTGGCGGTCGTCGCGTGCCTGCATCAAGTGGTGGTTGTTGGCCGGCGTGTTGCGGCCGCTGGTGTTCGGCGGCTAGCGCGTGGCTGTGGTTGGTGGTCGGTTGCCAGCAATTGGCGACGGCGAGAGGTTACAATTGTAATAAATTTCTGTTGTATTTAAAATTTGTTCAAATAAGATGAATTTCATATACACTAAAAATAAACTTAGATGGTGTATACAAATGCATCAAAATTTTACATTACATTTGTTTTATTTCAAATTTGATGCCTATGTTCAAAATCTCTCTATTTGAAACACTGTACTCAATTTTGCAAGCAAATAAATAGCCCCTAAATAAATTAAATACGCATCATTTTTCTCTTTATTAAGTATTGGACTCATTTTAAAAATTTAGCTGATAAAAAAAATTATCAGAAACTTGTGATCATACTGGGCATATATTTGAATGTAAAATTTTAATTATACATATATTATACACATTTTAGAATAAATTAAAACTTTTAAAATTCATTCTAATAATTTTTTTATGCAAAAATTTCCAACTACAATTTACAGAACACTTGTCATCATCTATTCAAATAGCTTTCGAAAAAAAAAAGAAGCTTTAACTGAATATTTAGAAGATTCAAACTAATAATATCAAGCTAATCTTATGAACTCTAATTCCATCACTGATTCCTCCATTTGATCTCTAAAAAGAGCAGAGCAACTCGTCAATACCTGCATATCTCAGCGCTTCTTTTCCTAGTGATCCAGATGTAAGCAAAAACAGCCACCACAACAGCAGCCGCAAATCCGGCGGCTATGGTTTCTCCGGTCACCACCTCCAGCTTCGACCCGTGTCTAGGCGCACGCTGAGCAGCCTCCGGCGCTGAAGAACTGGGAGACAAAACACCAAGATCGAGCAGGCCAAGCTGGCCCGGCAGGGCCATGGCGCCGTTGACCGTTAAGAAGAGTACGGTGAAGAAGAAGCAGCTGAGGAAGAAGCCAGCCATGACTGCTGCAGTGGAAGTCTAAATGGCTGCAATGGAAGTTAATAAGGAGGAGCTTTTCATTTGTTTTATATGATTTATAGGGAAGAGGAGCCGACCACTATCCACTTTCTGATTTTGTTATGATGTGTATTTTATTATAATGCAAAAATGAGAATTAATTGAGCTATAGTTGACCTATTTATTATAAAAGAGCAAAATGATATTAAAATATATATTGTAATTAAATGATAAAAAAAAAGAGAAATTAGAATAGAAACTAGGAAATCATTTGATATAAGAAAATGCGATGTAATTTTTAATTTTTTTTAACAGTTTAGTCTTGCTTATCTGGCTCGATCAAGACTCTATTTTCACTAAATTTATAATTTGAAAAGCTTGCCCGTGGCAATAAATCTAATATTGATGCCAAGATCGGAGGGCTGCGATCGTCGATCGTGCATTGATGGAGCGACCCATAGATGCTCCTATATGAAGCATTTAAAAAGGGAAAATAGAAAATAGAAACGAGATACAAACAACGGTGAGTGGTGTGAGTGTTCTTCTTGAGGCTGAGGAGATGTGTATGTGTTAACACCCTGGAGCTACATTATGCCAAAAAAGGAGAAAAGAAGAAACTGTAGACAAAGTCAGAAATTCGAGGAGATGAATTCCTAGACGAAGAAGAGAAGGAGATGAGTGAGCATTATAAATCGTTATGAGTAATAAGAACTGAATATCGACTGATAGATAAATTAAGTGGCTCGCCGTCTCGCCCTAATTAGATCGCAAGGGTCTTTACGGGTCAATATTTGGGTTCTCAGGTTAACCCGACCTTGACCAGAAAATTTAAAAAAGTAAGTTTTGTAGACTTGAAACCGACCTGTTTCTAAATCGGGTTGGTCCTACCCGAAAATTTTAGGTCGGGCTCGGGTCGGATTACGTGTCGTCTCAATTTTTGACAGCTCTAACCATATATGATGTGTGTATGAGTTTGCCTTAATTGACCTAAATATTTCAAAAAGAGAGATGAATTCTATAAGATAAACTAACATTATGGATCAGGACTAGTTGGCTTGAATACTGTAAGAAATCACGAACAACTGTGTTAATGTAAAAAACATTTCAAATTCCTTAAAGATATCATTCAGCTTGCTACTGCTCTACAGAGCTACAAAAAAGATTAAAAGAAAACCTAAGAGCCGATGGTCCTCTATACTAAGATTAAAAAAAAAAAAAAAATACTAATAACATTCTAGGATTGCAACTATGTTAAGTCCCTTTATTAAAAAAAAGAAAAAAAAAATGTTAAGTCCCTTTATTAAGATGGGCAACCTGCTGCAAACCCCCCAAAATAATAATAATTAATAATAATAAATAAAAAAAGTTAAGTCCCTTTATTATGCTTTGAATTTTAATTATAGAGTAGGCCCAATTCAACAAGTAAAAAAGAGAAGAGAGCCTTTGATAGAGTAGGAAAAAAATAGGATTTAAAGAGAAACAATCATCTAAAATATATTAAAATGGAATTTTAGGTTTTTTAACAAATATAAGTAAATAAAAAAAATAAGTAAAAAAATCCTACATTGCAAAAAAAAAAAAAAAAAAAAACCAATCTCTTTTAATCTAAGTATTGGTATTAGACATATTAAAGTTTCGTTTGGGACGACTTTCTTACCATTTTTAAAATAAGTTTTTTGTATAAATTTTTTTTAAACTAAAAATATTTATACTGAAAAGCTATTTTAAAAGTAATAAAAAATAGTCCCAAACTAAGCCTAAATTATTTCTAATGCTTTCTCATTGTATCAGAAAAAGAATTTTAAAATTCTGTTTGGACTAAAATGGGCGAACAATATAAGGGAGGGTTTCATGAATTTGGCTAGCATGAAATGGGCAAATGACAAAAGGTAAGAATAGTGGAGTTTTGTTGATTAGGTGTGTTAATAATGATTCATAATTAACAAAATTATTATTGATTTTTAAACTTTAATAACTTCTTAAATATGATGATTAACAAGTAATAATAAAAATTAGATATTTGAATTAATTATGACTAGTGCCCACCTTAGCCACTCTTAGGCTTCGTTTGGGACAACTTTATTACTGTTTCTTAAAACAGGTTTTTAGTACATAAATTTTATTTTTTTACCCTAAAAA